TCATAGAGAGGTAGCTTATGTACCAAGCATATCAAATAAAATGATGATAGATTTTGGCAGTTCTTATAGATTTGATTATTGAAATTACAAGTGAATGAACATGACTAGCGGGAATATATAGAAATTGGACTCTCAGATTCACTTTCTGAATTAGATCGTTTTATGAGAGCAACAGTCAAAGCAAAATCTAGCTGGCTAGACTCTAGAGTGTATAGATATTGCTAGCTTAAATGAGGCTTTAACGGTTTTCTGAGGAATCACGCCAGAAATATAACAAATTTTCTATCAATAATCTTAATCTTATGAGATTTGACTATGAGGAGGAACTTGTCATTTAAACAGAATTTACATCAGACATGTCAAATAAAGAGCTCCTTGTCATACAAAAAAATTCAAGATCAGGTTCAAATAAAGTAAAGTCCCCCCGAAAAAAAGCATGCAGACAGTTTTTTTAAAATATTATTTAAATGGGCAAACCAGCAGAAGCCAGTGCTCTCAGTTAATTAAAAATGTAGGTGGATGATCCATGCACTCATAAATAACGCAGCTCCCTACTACTTTCGTCGTCTTAGTTTAACTGCTCTAAGTTGAAATTGCATTGATGAAATACAAGAATTAAGCAAACAGATTCAACGGTTACTTTCTAGTAAGGTAAAGGATAAAAGTTCGCTTCAGTATAACTCAAATAAATAAAGCCTAAATTTAGCAAATAATGAACATGAAGAAACTTTTACTTTGTGGAAAATGGGGTACTTCTTGGTATAAAACAAAAATAAGAGAAAGAAAATGGGAAAAGAGAACGAAGGATACCGAATAAGCACATGCCAAGACTAAACATTCACATGAATACGAGCACAAAAAATGCTAAATTTGTTAATAATAGAGTGTTGAAAGAATGAAAAGGATGAACTAGGAGGCAAACCTCATTTATATGATAAAGGTCATAATCCTTTGTGAAATATTTGTGTGCCTCCTGTCCCCTTTGTAGCATGTCCCCGTCTATAGGACCAAGCATTCCAATCATACGTGCAAGCAACATGACAACTGCTTCATTTGGAAAAAGCACCTACCAAACAATAAGAATATTTAAGAGTGTATGCGTATAGTTGCCTGCGAAACACAAGCTAATGAAGCCTTTTAACTTGTTCTGCACGCCACACCACACCCCCTCCCAAATTGGGCTAAAACAGGAAGAGGAACAAAATACTATTTGCAATTTGAAACATACCAAGCAATAAAGTAAACGATGGTAAAAGGAAAGGTTAAGAAAAAATGAAAAAAAGAACCATACGAATGGATGTTACATAATTCAAAGGAAAAGCAGGAGGATACCTCCCCAGAGCACAGCTCTCCCAAGATGCAGCCAAGAGACCAAAGATCAATTTTTGCGTCATAAGAGAGGCCTAAGATGACTTCAGGAGCTCTATAGGAACGAGACTGTACATATAAGGACAAGGGGTCTGACTGAAAGCAACTGCTTCCGAGATCAATAACTTTTATCTCACATCTTCGATAACTTTTGATGAGAATATTTTCTGGCTTTAGATCACAGTGGATGATCCCCAAATTGTGCAAGAACACAAGTGCCTCCAAGCACTGTCGTGTTATGGTCTGTTAAGGAACATTTCCAACACAATTACATTTCATGGCTTTCCTTAGATATATTTTGTGGTTTTGCTGACAAATTTTAACTTACAAGAGAAAATACGGACCTGCAGCCTGCTCATTGTAAAATAAGGCTCTAGATCAGATTCTCGGTTGTATTTCTGAAACTCATATAAATTTGCTCGGAGAAGTTCACAAACAATAAAGAGGTGCTCCTGCATGTTATAACATCAGAAGAAAGAGTACAGTTAATAAATATTCAACATCAGATTCTAGGCAATATCTTCTATTTGTTCTTAAGCAATGGCAGAAGTTCCAAAACAAAAAATCCACAAGAAATTACAGTACTGATCAACCTTTTTATCAAGAAGGATAGTTAATGATTCACAACTACCTCTCTAAATTCATATACTCCAAAAATTCAACAAGGCCCATATCAATATCATCTAAACTACCCTTGCACCAAATATAAAGATTTTGTAAGCATCTACACTTTACAGTAATAATAATTAGATAAGATACCAATGATGTGTGAGCTGGATGTGAACCAAAAGAACAGTATTGCAACATTCATTGGTGATTTCAATATTTATCCTAAGGTAATAAATAAAAGAAAAATGCTATATGACTGTGAATGTTGAGTTTCTAAGTCCCAACATAGCCACAACATAACTACCTTAATAATGTGAATGTTAAAGATAGATATGTGGATATACAAAATTGAACAAGACTAGAAATGATCAGGATTAATAGGGGGTGCAATAGCACACTCAGGGGTCATTTGTTTACAAGGATAAGGGATAACAATCCTGGAATAAAATGTGGGATTATTAGTCCATGGTTGATTGAATTTTTGATTCTGGTATAAGCAATTCCAGAATTATTTATACCACATTCTGCTATTATTTTTCAACCTGAAATTCCTAATCCCAGGACTAAACAACAAAATGACAAAGATGCCCTTATCCAACACTCTTCTTCCAAAGTCCTTTAAGAAAGCAAAGGAAAAAATTGAAATTAAATAAAAGTTTATCCAAGTGTAAAATCAAACACATGTTTTATATTATACCCCGTATACATCATTTTAGGCTAACAATCCAAACATCTATGAATAAAAGTATATTCATTAAATAATTCCGTCACTATTTACTCCTCGTATTATAATATCCATATTATAATCCCAGAATAACTTGTTCACAAACCAAACGATCCCTTAAAGGGTGAAAAGAAATAAGGTCGTGCAAAAATATTTGGTCATATCCCACAAATCTTCAGATGTTGCACCCGTCTATGGGTGCGAAAATGTGATCATTGAAGATGTTAACTTAAATGAGATTGACTTAAAATCACAGGGAGGAAAGTTAATTTCAAAGACCTAAGATCTCTCGGAATCAATGTAGATTTAACTAAGAACATATACTAATGGAAGCAAAAGATTCATAGATGCGAGACCAACCTAGCTAGTTGGGAATCATCAAGTTAAGGTAAACATGAGAATAGAGGATTCGCGTAAACAACTTGTGGTTGAGGCATAGTTAATTGATTGTATTAAGGTAATAAACTACAGCCTAACCTCTGGGAAAGTGTAGAAGAACAGACCAGTTGTGGATAAAAGATGCAAATGTTTTTTTAGTTAATCGGGAACATATCATTTTAATCCAAGAACTATCAATCAACGTCCCAATAAAAGTTGAAACCAATTGTTTTTGGAACTAAATCCTTCCTAATTGAACCAAAGTAAGTCCACAGGGCTCTTATCAAAAACTCATCTAAGTACATTTTCAAGTCTTCTCCCAGCTATGGTGGAAAAAGAATCAACGCCCTTGCTAAGACTTTACCTTGCAAATACAGCCATCATATATCCAATCTTGATCAAATCAAAATTCTAGTGTTTCTATTCTACCAGTGTTTACGGTTTTAGCCTTATAATATATATATGCATGTACGTACACACACATATCGATAGGTTTACACTTACACTATATTCTTATATCATATAAAACCTTTAATCTCCAGAAATCATATGAAACTAGAAAGTTTACGTTAAAAGTTTAGATATGGCTATTAGTGCTAACTACATAAATTCCTTGATGGCACGAGATCCCTCCAGACAAGATATGTCAGTAAATCTGCCACTAATACCTAGCTGTACGTTTCGATTGGTTTATAACTTTATAGTTGTCCTTGCCACACACCTCTCCCTTATATCAAAAACAGAAAAATGGTAAATTCTGAATGCTGATCGTCTTGTTCATTTAGAGGCTGGGCAATCGATCTTTAGTTCGTTATAAGTCTTGATTCAAAGCAAAGGACTCAAAAGAACAAACATTTTCTCAAGCATACCTGGTGGTAGAAGTAATCATATAGTCGCAGTATATGGTGCTCATCACAAGGGTCATTCTTGTTCACAAACTTGAGAAGCTTAATCTCATCTAAACTCTGATCAAAGAAGTCCTTGTCATTCTTTATTATCTTCAAGCAAACGTCTATTCCGGTGTGCATATCATGAGCCTGAATCACTTTGCTGAATGCAGCTGAACCAAGGTATTCCGTTACATAGTATCTACCAGCGATAATGCTATTTAAAACAATAGGCAGGTCCTTGCTCTCCTCAAATCCAGTCCTGCGTATGGGGCAGAACAAATCAGTACAACTATTGTCTACAAATGAACCTGCAAGAAACAAGCTCAATATCTACATTAAATGTTAGAACAACTTTAGTGCCTAGAATGAATGATGAAATTAGAACTTGATGCGATATACATGCTGAACATGTAATTATCAAACAAACATTGCTCTCAAGTCCTATAGAAAAACACCTTGTTTTCACTCACTCGTCGATATTGGACTTAGAATTTGGAGGTATGGATATATGAAAATGAACCTGTTTTTTCTGTGTATAATTCTCAGATTAAATACATCAAACTCATCTTCGCCTTCAAACATCAAAAGTTCATCTGATGTAACACCTCCCTCTTCATCTGCTGCTGCATCGGGTTCAATACCCTCATTATCCTCTAATCTATCATCTTTTGGCTCGTAGTCTCCATGTACATATGAGTAGTAATCTTTGTCAACAGCCTTAGGCTGAAGGTCAGGGGCACCGTTGAGATCTCCAACCAAGTCACTGTTGCAACTTGTTTTAATTGAATAGTTGTTTCTATCTTCAGTTTTCCTCTCACTCATTGGTTCATACTCTAAATAATTAGAGTCAGTTAGGTTGATACCCGTGTCGTCAGGATCACCGCCATAAATCCCTTTTGGCCCCTTGCAGCAAGCACAAAGTGGGGATGAACAGCTAAATTCTCCCTTCCCACCTTTCACTTCAAGCTGCTTTCGTCTATCCAAATGATAGTAATCTTTCAAGCCTACATCTTGCCCGTTGTGCAATGTGACTATAGGCCATCCTTCCGATTTATAATCCCAACTGGGACTTGTGGCTTTCTGTTTCTCGGACACTTCAGTCATCACAAACTTGTCCTCACTAGGGCCCGCGAGACCATCCGAGCTTCCAAAGTAAGGTGGCATTGGAAAATCTTCATCTTTCTCCCGGTACCAGAACAGGTCATTTTGCATATCAAAATCATGGTAATCTCTAGCAGTACCAAATTGAGATAATCTATCAGATGATGCTTGAGAACTGAGAGCTGTCGTAGTACGAATTCCATATGGATTTGTAAATTCTGCACCAGAGACAACAGGATAAACCTAAAAAAATATGCAGAAGAGACAAAAACAGAGGAAATAATCATAAAGTGTTGACCAAAAGTTGCAATAACACAAGATGATCAGTTCTTGGGTCACATTAATCTAAAAATCATAGTATTAACTTTTCGATACTCCAAAATCTTAAAATCATTTTGCCGAAATGGAATAAAATGCAACTCTTAGAAATTAAAGAATAAATGTCAATCATCCATTTCTGTCAATTCTAATTTCCAGGGGCAAAAGTTCTATATACTTACATCAATAACGTCCTATTTAAGGAAGTAGAAATTGTCAAATTACTAAAGTCTGAATTGGGCAAGTTTTATTTTAGCTTTTGCACAATCCACAAAGCGGTAAACAAATATTCCAGAAAGAGAAACACAAGTTCTTGTCATAAAGAATCAGAATTAAATCTTTAGAAATATATAAATGGTCAAATAAACTACTCAAAGTGTCACAAACTAAAAATAGAAAATTCAAAAAAGGGAAAAGGGAGAAAAAGGAAGGAACTTTAATTTACCAGAGGAGCAAAAATCGCTAGTAGAAGAACCCAAGCTGACAAATTCCTCATCAGAAGAAACAGAGTTCGACTGATTAATCTTAGCAGAAATTAAGTCATCAAGCCGCCGAGCAGAAGGAATCTTAAGAGGAGGTGGCGGCGGAATCATAGGAAATAAGAATCTTTCATAATCCAATGAACCCAATTCAGATTTCTCCATAATATCTTCCATAAGAGCTGATTCCGATTCTGAAAACCCATTATTTTTCAAGAATTCCAATACTTCTTTAATGTCAGAAACAGCCATGAGAAAAAAGAAGAACAAAGTCTAAGAAGAAGGAAAAAGAAGAGAGTGTAGTAAGTAGAGGAAGTGGAGAAGAGGTGGGTTCATGGGAATGGAGTGAATTAAGGGAAAAAGGGTCAAAAGGGGGAAATTCTGAGTTGGGTTTTGCATGTTTTTTTCTTTGCTATGTTATAGAAAGAGAAAGAGGAGAGAGAGAGAGAGTGTGTGTGTGTGTGATGACTTTCTGCTTTTCTCTTGAGTTTGTCTGCTGTAAAACTGAAGCTAACGGCAGGAGAAGGAAACGAAATATCGATATCTTACCAACTTTGACAAGTATAAGAAAGCTAGCTAGCTGTTGGAATGTGGGGTCCTGTCCTGCTGAAACAACAGTGAGTATAGTATACAACATGGATTTTTCGATGTAATCTAGGTTTTTTCTACTCTTGTTCTTATTTGTGGTCAAAATTTTCTACAGTGAGATAAGAGATTCAAGTAGTCGTTGCCGCGTTATCTCAGTTTTATCTCAAAATTCCACAAGCTGAATTTTGCATGAATATAAGATGTTCGGATTGCTTTGTCTTTTTACCCACGTTCATAATTGTGGTTTAAGTAAGATGATTACTAAGTAATCAAATGTAGTTGTTGCCACGTTGTACACTTATACTAAAATACATATTAAAGTTAGCGAAAACCAGCATAAGTTTACTTGCCCCCTTCTTAAATCTTACTGATATTTTAAAAAAATTATCTCTCCACAAAACTTTACCCAGCATCAGTTTGTTTTCGGCGCAAAGGGACGTACGACAGGCGTTCGGTGAGATGACATAAAAATGTGGTATGACAAAAATCAAATAAGTATAGAATAAAGTTACAGTTGAAGGCATTACATTACGCAAGCAATTTGTAGCTTTTACTTTTATCTTCTTTTGTCCTCTTAGTTTTAGTTTTGTTTATTCTTCTTTTGGTCAAAAGAAAAATACTCTTATTGCTACTAAAGTTTGTTACTTAACTTGATTTGTCATGATACCTACGACAATTATTTTCATAAAATGATAAAGCAAAGAAGGGGTACATTATAAAACATTAGTCCATTATAATTTTTCGAATTACGTTCATATTTTATTAGGTTATTCATTACTTTGTCACCTTTCCTGAATATATACTTGTTTTTCTCTTTTACTGCGATTTTAATTTCTCGGAAGAACCCTTTCCTTAAATTGTAATTGGAGCTCCTAAAAAATAATTCTTAGTTTCTGAAGTTCTGATAATAATTGGTAGTAGAGTGTTGAATTTTTTTGGTCATAAGTATGCTTTGCTACTTGATGAAATGTTGAACAAGGTACCTAGTGGTATAAGATATCAAAATTACGATTTTTTTTATAGCACTTGATAAATACATCAGCAGTGATGAGTTTCTATGTTCAATATGAGAATCAATAAATCCATTGATAAGTTATGTGTCTTGTTATATTTTGATGATTTAACAAACTTTATTGAGAACCAGATGGAGAACTTGTTCCACATCCTCTGAGTGCTCAAAGATCAACAAGTCTCAAGTCTGGGACATGTTCCAACATTCAGAGTCCAAGAAACAACAGAGGGAACATATCGACATCAATTCCCTTGCTGACAGTACCAGTCAACTCCCCACAACTGTAACGTGACTGCAATTGTTCCTCTGCACATACGCAACAGTGCAAACAGTGGAGCAGTCACTTTATGCGGAATGCCTTTGTATCAAACATGCTTGCATCATTCAAGTGATGTCACTTATGTAATATCAATACGAAGCAAAGTAAAAACAACACACTTGCACACTCTAGAATTAATCAAGCTCTCTCTCAAGTGTATTGCCAACCTGCAAGTAACATTCAAGGCGTCAAGAACAAAGAGCAACATAACGAAGGACCAGTTTTCTGCATTGAGTTATCATATGTCCTTAGTTGTGTAGCATCTTTGTCAAAGTGATTTACTTGTAATTCCTACTTAGCTTAGTTAGAAATATTATGTAGGAAACTTTTGTAAAATCATAAACCATGTGTTTATGTCTTGGCTAGAGTTAGTCGAGTTGTAAGCTTTGTAATAGAGTTATTACAAAGGGGCTTGTAATAGAGTTATTACAAGTTAGTGAGAGATTAAGAGGTTAATTCCTAGGTTACAATAGTTTGTAATCTGAAGTTTGCTCGGTAGTAAAGTTGATATCCTACAAGGGTAGGTCGTGATTTTTAATCCAGTGAGCTGGGAGTTTTTCACGTAAAACTCTATTGTGTTATTTACTTACAACTGTGTGAGTGTGTTCTGTGGGAACTAATAGAGAACCTAGTTCTCTATATAAGTTTGGTGGACCCTTAGTGTCTATCAATTAGTATCAGAGCATGTTCTTTCTATCATGCTAACACCTAGAAAGGATGCTCATGGCTGCTCCACCAAACTTCGAAGAAGGTCAATCCACCTACAGACCACCAAGATTCAATGGCAAATACTATGGATAGTGGAAGACAAGGATGCATGATTTTATCATGGCTGATGATTCAGAGCTTTGGGATGTTATCTACGATGGTCCTTTCATTCCTATGAAAACCATTGGAGAACCAGCAGTGACAGTTCCCAAGTATAGGAAGGAATATAACGATGTTGACCGCAAGGCTATAGAGAAGAACTTTCGAGCAAAGAAAATCCCCGTCTGTGGCATTGGGCCAGATGAATACAACAGGATTTCGGCTTGTTAATCTGCTAAGGAGATCTGGGAAGCTCTCCAAACAGCACATGAAGGGACAACTCAAGTCAAGCAGTCGAAGATTAATATGCTAACCACTGAGTATGAACTCTTCAGAATAAAGGACGATGAGTCCATTCAGGACATGCACACTCGCTTCACCTCTATCATCAATGAGCTCCATTCCCTGGGAGAAATCATTCCAAGGAACAAACTTGTCAGGAAAATAATCAGTGTATTACCTGATTCCTGGGAAAGAAAAGTAAATGTTATCACGGAGGCAAAGGATCTACAAAAACTAACCATTGATGAACTCATTGGTAATTTGAAAACTTATGAAATAAAGAAGAAAAAGGATCATGAGAGAAAAGAGCACAAAAGGGAGAAGAACCTGGTCCTCAAGACAGACAACAATGAATCAAGTAGTGAGGATGTTGATATGGTTTACTTGACAAAGAGATTTCAGAAGATGGTCTGCAGAAATGGAGGTATTCCAAAGAAGGGCAGCTCCAGCAAGCCAAGAGGATATGACTTATGTCATAAGTATGGGAAGCCAGGACATTTTATCAAGGATTGTCCCCTCCTCAAGCAAGACCAGTACAAGCACAACATAGACAAAACAGTCAAGAGGAACCCGGTTCCTAACAAAAGATTTAAAAGAAAAGAAGTCGCTGACAATGTTGTGAAACAAACTCTTGCTGCATGGGGAGACTCTTCCATCGAATTTGGAGAAGATGATGCACAAGGTGACACCTCCATGATGGCAGTCGAAAGTGAAGCAGCTAATTATGATTCCATCTTTTTCCCTAATGGCAAAATCTGACGATGATGAAGATAATGATGATGATGAGGTAAACTTTCTAGACGTTCAGAAAAATCTGAAGTCTTACTCTAAAAAAAAGCTCATATCCTTGGGAAATATTTTAATTGACGCTTATCACAATCTTATAAACGATAAAAATGCCTTAACTATAGAGTTAGGAGAGGTACAAAATGAGAAAGATGATTTGGTAGTTGTAGTGGCCGACCTAAAAGAAACCATTAAGAATCTAGTGAAAGAAAAAAGTATTCTGATTAAAAAGGCTGAAAACATAGAGAATGAGAGAGATGACTTGTTAGTAGTTATCATGGACCTAAAAGAAATAATAGAGGAATTAAAAAAGGGAAATAGTTTTGGGACTGTCCAAAAGGGGAAGGAAGTTGCAAGTGAGGCACACATTAAGCATGAAAATGAACTACAGTCTATGAAATCTAGTCTGTGTGTTGAACTTGAAAGAAACAGACAACTTCAAGAGATCTAGGCAGAGTTAAAAATGACCTCAAAAAATCTCTAAAGTGGACCTGATCCTCTGATATAATTGTTGCCATGTATACAAGCAATGGTGTGAACATGCAGGTCATCGGGTTCCAAAGGGAAAAGACTCCCAACAATCCACATAGCAAGTATGTTACTGTCCTTGATAACTGGCTTTGCACTCACAGTGGCAACACATGTCACTTTAAAGAAAACTGTAAGGCTATAATTCAGTCCCAACAGAAAAATAAGGTGTTTGTTGAAAAGGCAACTACTGCTAAGGAACCTGGTCCCTCCGTTAAAAAATGTATACTGCCTGCCTAGACAAAAAGAAGTTTAATTCTACCCTTTCCTCACTACAAGGGACCCAAACTTGTTTGGGTCCCTTGGTCTAATCCTTGATTCTCTTGTGCAGGGAGCAGTGAAAGGAAGCAATCAAAAATGGTACATGGATAGTGGTTGTTCTAAGCACATGACTGGAAGCATCGACGATTTCCTTCCACTCAAAGCCCTGCAAGGAGGCAGTGTGTCATTTAGCAATGGCAAAAAGGGATACATTCTGGGAGTAGGAAGACTTGGGAAGTCACTCACCCACTCAATTGAAAATGTGTACTATGTGAACGGCTTGAAATACGGCCTACTGAGTGTTTTTCAAATCTGCGACAAAGGAAACAAAGTGGAATTTGTGTCAAAAGTCTGCACAGTTACAAACCTTATGACTGGTGAAGTGGTCCTGATGGCAAAAAGATACAAGAACATTTATGTTGTTGATTTTGAGTCCCTGCAAAATGGGGATCTCACTTGCCTGAGTGCTTTTGATGATGATGTTGAACTATGGCACAAAAAATTGGGTCATGCAAGCTTTACGTTGCTGAACAAACTGGTCAGGGAGGACCTGGTTCGTGGGCTGCCGATGTCAAGTTTCAAAGACCACAAGGTGTGTGATACATGTGTAAAAGGAAAGCAAGTCAGGTCTTCTTTCAAGCCCAAAAAGGATGTTAGCACCTCAAGGCCACTCGATCTCCTCCATATGGATCTGTGTGGACCTATGAGGGTGCCAAGTATAGGAGGAAAGAAGTACATTTTTGTTATAGTGGATGACTATTCTAGATTCACCTGGACCTTGTTCCTCAAAACAAAGGATGAAACTTTTCCAGTGTTTGTTGCTTTCGTGAAGAAGATCCAAATGAAGGTGAGCCACAATGTTGCATGCATAATATCTGATCATGACACAGAGTTTGATAATGCAAAATTCGACAAATTCTGTGTTGAAAATGGGATAAGTCATAA